ATACTATTTACATTAGTACCCTCAAAATGAAATAGTTAGGTATAAGCCTAACAAAATATAATCAAGATCTCTATGAGGCAAGCTACAAAACTCTAATGAAAGATATTAAAGATGGACTAAAAAAGGGAGAGAGAGATTCTGTATTCATGGGTAGGAAAACTCAATATTGTCATGATGTCTGTTCTTTCCAATTTGATCTATAGTTTCAATGCAATCCCAATCAGAATTCCAGGATGTTGTCTTGTGGATACCAACAAACTGACTCTAAAGTTTATGTAAAGAGGCAAAAGACCCAGAATAACCAACTCAATATTAAAAGAGAACAAAGTTGGAGGACTGACATTACCTGATCTCAAGACTTACTATAAGGCTATAGTAATCGAGACAGTGTGATATTGGTGAAAGAATAAACAAATAGATCAATGGCATACAACAGAGACCCCAGAAATAGACTTGCACAAAGATAGTAAATTGATCTTTGACAGAAGGAGTAAAGGCAATACAACAAAGCAAAAATAATCTCTTCAAAAAGTGGTACTGGAGCAACTGGACAACCGTATGCAAATAAATGAATCTAGACACAGACCTTCACAAAAATCAACTCAAAAGGGATCATGGGCCTAAACATGTATTTAAAAATTGACAAAATTCCTGGAAGATAACAAAAGAGAAAACCTATATGACCCCGGGTTTGGTGATGACCTGTAGGCACAAGCCATGGAAGAAATAGTTGTTGAGCTGGACTTCACTGAAGTTAAAAACTTCCACTCTGTGAAGAACAATGTCAAGACAATGAGAACATAGGCCACAAACTGATACAAAATATTTGCAAAAGAAACATCTGATAAAGAACTGTTATCCAAAATATACAAAGAACGCTTGAAACTCAACAATAAGAAAATGAACAACCCAATTAAGAAATGGACAAAAAATCTGACCATACACCTCAGCAAAGAACATATACAGATGGGAAGTAAGCATATGAAAAGATGTTCAACATGATATGTCATTTAAAAATTATAAATTAAAAACAACAACAACAACAACAAAATTATAAATTAAAATAATAATGAAATACCAGTACCTGCTTATTAGAATACTCATTCCTTGCTGGTGGGAATGCAAAATAGTACATTTTGGAAAACAGTTTGGCACTTTCTTACAAAATTAACCATGCTCTTCCCACATAATCCAGCAGTGGCATTCCTTGGTATTTATACTTAATGAATTGAAAACTTGTGTCTATAGGAAAACCTGTATGCAGATATTTATAACAGCTTTATTCATAAATGCCCAAACTTGAAAGCAATCAAGATATCCTTTGGTTGGTAAATGCATGAACTGTGGTACATCTAGACAATGGAATATTATTCAGTGCTAAAAAGAGATAAGCTATCAAGCCATGACAAGACATGCAGGAAACTTAGATGCATATTACAATGTGAAAGAAGTCAATCTGAAAAGGCTACATACTGTATAATTCCAAATACATGAAATTCTGGAAAAGGCAAAACCATGGAGACAGTAAAAAGATTAGTGGTTGCCCAAGTAAAGAGGACAGGGAAAGCAAAGAGGATTTTTAGGGCAGTGAAACTATTCTGTATGATACTGAAATAGTGGGTACATGTCACTATACATTTGTCAAAACCCAAGAATGTACAACACCAAGAGTGAACCCCCATGTAAACTACAGACTTTGGATGATAATGATGTGTCAAGGTAAATTTAACAATTGTAACAAATATACTACTGTGGTGCAAGATACCACAGAGGGATAGCCGGGGAGGATGTGTGTTGCAGGAAGAGACAGGGAGGATCTGGGAACTCTGTACTCTCTGCTCAGCTTTGCTGTGAACTCAAAACTGCTCTAAAAATTAAGTTTATTAATTTAAAAAAGGAAAGTATTATGGTGCCAATTAAGTTGTGGTATCACTTGGAAACCAGCCACTCAACATTGAAAGAAAAAATAAATAAAATATTTTCTTAAAAAATTTTTTTAAGTTTATTTACTTATTTTGAGAAAGAGATAGAGAGAGCAGAGGAGGGGCAGAGAAAGAGGGAGAGAGGGAGAGAGAATCAGCATCATTAGCACAGAGCCCAACGCAGGGCTCGAACTCACGAACTGTGAGATCATGACCTGAGTCGTAACTGACTGAGCCACCCAGGCACCGCAGGAACTGAAATATTTTAAGCGTAGATGTGATAAATTCTTTAAAAACTAAAAATTATCCTTTACAGCTTTTCATATTAGAAATGAGAAAACCTCCAAAGCACCTTACAGAGTAAATTATCTTATTACATTGGCTGGAGAAGTACACCCAGTAGTTGAAAGACTTAAAAAGTCATTGCAGTTGACATTGCTGAATGCCTTCTGAATAAAAGCTCAGAAAAGGGAATGATGATAGTGCTGCTTTCCAATGACACAGTCACTTGTAGCAGTATTGATTTGGCTCCCAATATGATAACTAAGTTAATATCTCATTTGCAGAAATTGTACTTTTGCTTTACCAATGGGATAAACCTATAGATGTGGCTAGGCTTGCTGTTTTTCATGTATTCATCCATTGTCAGCCCCAACTAAAAATCATCAACGATCTTTTATGGGAACACTTGGCAACCAACACAAAGAGTTGAATAACTTTTTTGACAAAAAACTTGTTGCTTGGCAAGAAACACGAAGTGCTGAGTAACTTTTTTGAATTCCATGGTTTATCCTGGAACAAGTCTGTTGACATTTGCGTGGATGATACAAAAGCCAAGGTGAATAAAACTGCTGGCACTTTAGCATGACTCAAGGCAGTGGTGTTAAATTGTTCAGTATTCTTCACTGTGCAGTTAAGAAACAAAACAAAACAAAACAAAAACCAGTTTCACTTAGGAATGTCTTTAATGAAGCTAGAAACGTTGTTAATTTCATGAAAACTCAACTCCTTGACTGCATATCTTTGCAATATTTCTGCGTGGCAAAATGGTGTTTGTGCTGCAGGTGGAACCATTATGGTCCCTCAAAGAAGAGCATCTGTGCAACTGTTTCAGTTGTGAACTAAACAACATACTTTTGTTATGGAACACCATGATGTTATTTACTTGAAAGAATGGCAGATAGACAAGTTATGATTGTTCAGGATTGGGCATTTGGCAGACATCATACTGAAAATGAACAAAATAAACCTTTTATTTTAAGAAAATAATTGATCATTTTTCTTACCAATCATTAAAGTGAACTTTCAGGGGAAAATTAGAATACTTATAAAACTTGAATTCACCACCGTGAGTTTGACAGCTTCCTAATATATTCCTTTTTTTTTTTTTAAGTTTATTTATTTTGAGAGAGAGAGTGTAAGAGGGGAAGTGACAGAGAGACGGAGAGACAATCCCAAGCAGGTTCCACACTGTCAGCACGGAGCTTGACGTGGGGCTCGACCCCATGAACTGTGAGGTAATGACGTGAATAGAGATCAAGAGTTGAATGCTTAACCAACTGAGTCACCAAAGCACCCCCCAATACATTCCTTTTGGATGGGTGGTGATATTCATTTATTATTTTGTATTGTATGAAATAATCAACATTTAGAAGATCTGTATAACTCATTAAATAAATATTTTTCAAATGAAAACTGTATGATGTTATAGAAACATTCATGAATAAGTTATCCATTCAAAGTGTCAAATAGACCAATGGATTTTAATGTAACAAAGTATGGAAGTTCATTATTGTGGTTTCTGATTCCACACTGCAGCTAACCATTAAATACTATCTCTTGTCAAGTTTTAGTGTAGTATCAAAGTATATCCACAATTCTCTAAAATAGCTACCAAAATACTTCTCCCTTTTCCAACTATCTACCCCTGTGAGGCTGGATTTTTTTCACATTCATCCACCAAAATAACAATCATAACATATTGAATGCAAAAGCAGATATGGGAGCTATCTCTTATTAACTCAGATATTAAGGAGAAATAAAATACATTAAAATGTAAAACAAGGCTGCTCTTTATTAAGTAGAAAATATAGTTTCAAATATAGTCTAAGAAATGTCATTTGTGTTACTAGGTAATGGGTTTATTATTGTTAATTTTAAATGAATAAATACATAGCCAAATTTCAGAACTACTGTGCTAATCTTCTCCTCTGCATACCACTTACCAATTGTTATCAGCCCAATAAAATCAGGTCATAAGTATTTCAGGCTGTTTGAATTGCCAAAGCATTCCTCATTTATTCACAGGAATTTTCATTCTGGCCCCACCTCTGGCCAGTTCCAGACGTTTAACTCCATTTTCTACAGCCCAGCTCTGAGCTTATCTGTGGCAGCTATCCCTTACCTTCTTCCCTGCAAACAAAACTGGAGTTTTGTTTCCCTCTCCTCTGCATGTCCCTGACCTTCAGAGCAGTCTAGGACCCAGTACAGGCCCAAAGGAGAATTTTGGTTTTGTCTAATCCAGTCATGGTGATTTCCTTTCCTTTGTCAAGTTTGTGGACCTCAACCTCATCCCCTTTTTTCTAGTGATGTTTGTTAAAACTGTAAATATTAAATATTTATCAATTAGTGTCAAGAACTGCTAAAGATCTAAGATTTTTTACCCTATTTGTAAGCCAATAAACTTGCCATAGTTTCATGGGTTTATGCATCGTCTTACAACCGGCATAAACCCATGTCTGAACCATGAGATGTGAGAAGGCTATTGAGGAGCCTCAAGAAGGGAAGGTTTTCCTCAGTCTTAAAGAGAGACATAAGACAGGGCTGATTCCCTTTTTTCTGCCTGGATATTGTTCTTGGTGTGTGAAGCCTGGAACCACTGCAACCATTTGGACCCAAGAAGAGAACCAGCCTAGTGAACAAAGCAATGTGTGGAGGATGGCAGAAAGTAAACATGGAGGCAATTTGGCCCTTGATGAACATTGCTTTTATAGAAAAATAAAACAGTATTCTAGAGAACATCGCTGTTCTACAAAACTAGTCCTGTCACTGCCCAATCTCTAGATGTCTTATTAGGTACCTGATACATTTCCTATGGCGTCAGCCATTTTAGTGAGGGTTTACCTTTCCTTTAATTGACAATATGCAAACTCCTGCAGACATTCATACAAATTATTTTTCCTCTCCCTGGTCCACTCCCATCTGGTTCTTCATTCTCTGGTTTCCTTAGGTGAGAAGACAATGAGGTAGAGCGAAAAGCCCAGGCGTCAGACCCAGGCCCAAAGCAGGTCTCAGGCACATCTTTACTGGTGAGGTGAGGGTGAAGTATTAAATCTTGCTTGGCCTTGGTTTCCCTATCAGGTGGCTAATGAGAAGGGTAAATTCTATGAGGTTACGGTGAGGATTAAAGGAACTAACACATTTAAAGCATTTGGAACAGTTTCCACCTTCTTGCAATCCATAAAAGGAAGATTCAGACAAGGCAGACTTTTAGTGAACCCATCTTTGTTCTCAAACTTTGTTTAGACTAAAATATTGAGTTGCCCCATATGAAGTTACCAACAAGCCAACATTTCTGACTTATGAAAACCGTGATTTCATGTAGTTCAATCTACCCTTGGAAGTTGTGCTTCAGATCAGTGAAAGAAAGCTTTCTTTTCTTTTAGAAAAGACGAACAGCTCAGGAGCATCTGTGCCAAGCACGGGACGTTGGAGATTAAACAGGGGCCACCACTGAGTCGACTTCTGCACAGACAGAAGCAGGCAGCAAGAACCAAACATCCAAACAAGCAAATGAGATTATGTGCATATGACTTGAAACAGTAAAGTGCTGTCAAAATATTATTATAAAAAGTATTGTTCGTCATGTAAGCATTCTTTAATGCCTCATCCATGAAAAAGAAAAGATACATGTCAATAGTAATTTATTTGAAATTTCAGTTTTTCACTTGCAAAGACCAAAATGTAAAGGAATTAATTGGCAACACTATAGACATTGTGAATTTTATTCATTTCATGATCTTGGGCGGGTCACTTGGGCTAGAATAAAATACATTTTCTTAAGCTTTTGAGAGTCTGGTAACTTGGGTGTCTTTTTCATTACATTGGTTTAAATTTAAATTAGAGGATAATTCCCTAGTAAGAAATCTGGGCTTCGGACACCCTCTCTGTGGTGCCATCCAGAATGAACCACTCAGAACAATGCTCAGTGAGGATCCAGGGCTGGAGCTCCCCCTCCACCCCCCAGTCACCGCTCTGCCCTATTTCAGAAGCAGAGGTGTCACAAATTGGAGCTAGACACGATGGCGCAGAAGAAGAATGTGGTGGCCTCACATTCCCCTCACAGCGTTTCCTGTAAGGACGGGACAGGGAGCTACCCGGTTTCCAGGGGCAACACTTTGCCTTGTTGATGCTTACAAGGGAAGAAGGCCCAGCTCCCACCTCCCTGAGAGGTGTGGCCTCTCATCCAGTGAGCAAACCCCAAGGGTGCTGAGGGGGTTAAGGAGGGGCTCCTGAGTGTGGGCTGGGGAAGGGGGAAAACACTGAATGCTCCAGGTTCATTCTCTGTTCAGAGTCACTTTCTGTTTGGAACCCGAGTCCGTGCCCTGGAATTTTGATGTAGGCCTATTGATGCCCATGGAAACCTCCCTGCAGAGTCCTGGCATGGGGCCACTCTGTGAGCTACACTTGCACCAGGAAGGAGCCAGATCGGGAGCTTCCTGGTGGTCTGAGTTCCAACCCAAATCTCCCTTTTGTTTCCCAAATGGCTTTTATCCCAAGCTCTGGGAAACTAGTATAAGCAATGTTCAGTGAGAAATGATCATGAGGTCTGTAGGGACCCCACACTTTGACTCAAAGCCTGGCCTTCAGGACTGGCCCCCTAAGCTTGGTGTCAAGATACTTTGGCTCCTTTTGGAGAAGTGCTGGGCTGAGCATCAGGCGATGGGACTGCCTGACGCTTGGCCTTCTTATTGGCTGTGTATGTTTCAGACTCCTGTGCTAACTTCCTTCTCTGTCCTCCTCTTACCTCATCCTCCCCCCAGGATTCAGTTACCACTGGCCAGGGGAGGGAGCAGGACTCGGGAAGAAAAAAGGTGACCTCAGCTTTATATGCAATGTTCCATTTCTTTTATAAAATAAAAGGTCTTTGCCAGCCTTTTAAGACAAAATAGTAACGTGGTTCTGTGAGGGGTGATTTAATTACTCTCTATTTTTCTGCATTTTTAAACTGAACACAGTACTTCAGATGTTAATAGTGGTGAAATTAGTAGCCATACCTTATTTCTCCTTTTATGTGTTTCTCATATGTCTTCTAAAGAGCACATTTTTCTTTTAGAATGGGAGAAAATCTTTCTAAAGCTTATCTATTATTAAGTTTATCTATTTATTTTGAGAGCTGTCTCTCAAAATAGTGAGTAGACAGTGTGAGTGGGGGAAGGGGGAAGGACAGTGAGACAGGGAGAGAGAGAGAGAATCCTAAGCAGGCTCCACATCATCAGCGCAGAGCCCGATGCAGGGTTGGAATCCACGAAGCTGTGAGATCACGACCTGAGCCAAAATCAATAGTCAGATGCTCAACCCACTGAGCCACCCAGGAGCCCCTTTCTAAAGCATGTATTATGCAATTATTCACACAAGGTGCAATGAAACAGGCGCTCTATGGAGAGCTGTTTGCACACAGCCGTGTTTTATGCAGAGATGACACTGGAGGACACAAACTGTAGGCAGAGTTATTTGGGAAGCAGAATAAAAACATTTAACACCAAAGCACAGAATAAAACCATAATGTGTTGAACTCTGACTAGGTCAAATGTGAGTACATAAGTGGCACCGGGAACGGGGATGGGGTGGGGGGGGCACCATGTTCAGCTTCCTCTTCAATCAGGAAGTTAGTCCATTGTGCAAAAGGAGGTTTTAAGAGCCCTCCAGTAGGCCTGCTGGGAGGAAGCAGTGCGTTGATATTGAACAGAGGGAGAAGCCATTCCCAGGAGAGGTAGAAAAGGAGGTACTCAGGATTTATCAGCAGCAGATAGATGATACAAGAAGCTGAGGATCAGATTAAATTGGAACCAAGATTTTTGCTTAATGACTAAGGCTCTCATCACTCAGCCAGTGAGGAGCCTGCAGGGTTGTGGCAAAGCTTCATGGTAAATTTTTTTATCTTGTATATTAGAATACCTAAATGGTGTCCAGGGAAATCCACGCCGTTCATTAGATCTCAGAGTGTAAGTTCACTCTCAGCAAATCCTGCTGTTGCTTTAGACAGTCTCAGGTTAAGGAAATCTGTCCAGATATTGTCAGAGGTTTTGACTTTCCCTGTCAAAATTCCCTGACTTTGCCCCTGTCCCTTCTAGGGGCACCTGGGTGGCTCAGTCGGTAAAGTGTCAGCTGGCCTACGCTGCAGATTTTGGACTTTTACTTCCATACTTGTGTGAGCCAATTCCTCAAAATAAATCTCTCTTTCTCCTTCTCGTATATACTCTCTCTATATAATCTCCTATTCATTCTGTTTCTCTGGAGAACCCCCATACACATGCATGCTCATAAAACCTCATGTAACACCCACTAAAAACAGTGAGATAGGGGGGTGAGTGGGAATGGGAGAGGGTCCACAGCTACCACTGTCAGGTTTTAGCTGTGAAAGCTGAAAGGATTGTTAGAAATAATCTAGATTCTGGGAGTGCAAACTGGTGCGGCCACTCTGGAAAACAGTATGGAGGTTCCTCAAAAACTAAAAATAGAACTACCCTACAACCCAGCAATTGCACTACTAGGCATTTATCCAAGGGATACAGGTGTGCTGTTTCGAAGGGACACATGCACCCCCATGTTTACAGCAGCACTATCAACAGTAGCCAAAGTAGGGAAAGAGCCCAAATGTCCACTGATGGATGAATGGATTAAAGAAGATGTGGTTTGTATATACAATGGAGTGTAACTCGGCAATTAAAGAGAATGAAATCTTGCCATTTGCAACTACGTGAATGGAACTGGAAGGTATTATGCTAAGTGAAATTAGTCAGTCAGAGAAAGACAAATATCATATGACTTCACTCATATGAGGACTTTAAGATACAAAACAGATGAACATAAGGGAAGGGAAGCAAAAATAATATAAAAACAATGAGGGGGACAAAACATAAAAGACTCAAATATAGGGAACAGAGGGTCGCTAGAGGGGTTCTGGGAGGGGGGATGGGCTAAATGGATAAGAGGCTTAAGGAATCTACTCCTGAAATCATTGTTACACCATAAGCTAACTAACTTGGATGTAAATTATAAAAAATAAATAAATTATAGAAAGTAAAAAAATAAATACAAATAAAAATAAAAGGTAACATTATAACAAAGCCTTGAAAGAGATAAGCCAGGCTGATATCTCTGGGGAGAACATTCCAGGTAGAGAGACGAGCCAGTTATAAGGGCCTAAAACAGGAAATTAATTGATAAGTTCAAAGAACAGCAGGAATATTAGTGGAGTTAGCTAGAGGGAAAGCAGTGGCGGCAGGGAACAGGGAGGAGAAGGTTAAATCATATTGAACCTTATCAACCAAATGGACTGTGGCTTTTATTCTGAGTGATATGGAATGGCATCAGAAAGTTCTGGGCAGAAAGGGCTGTAATCTGATGTACATCTTAAAAGGATTCTTCCAGTTGCACTATTGAGAAGACAGTAACAGAAATCATAATGGGCAGCAGCAAAAGCTGGGAAACCAGTTGAGGCCTAATGCAGAAAATCTGGAGAGAGATTATTATGGTTCAGACAGAGTTGAAATCAGATTATATAGGGAGAGGTAGTTGAATTCTTTATATATTTTGAGTATAGAGTCAATACCAATATCATTTAGGTTCAATGTTGGGTATAGAGAATAAGTATTAATAACACCTCTTTTACTTTCAAAAAAGTTCTGATTTTGACAACAAATTATATGATCTTCTTTGTTAAATCAGAATGAACCTCCTTCGGTGTGTTATTGTTTTTGCACACTGCTTGATTCTGAGTTATAATTATATAGGATCTTTTCATCAATATTCATAAGAGTGACTTGTCTTTCTTAGTGCTTTAGAAAAGTTTAAACACCATAGAAATGAGTTAGTCAATACAGATTTAAAGAATCCATCCTTGAATTTGTTTTGGTCTGGTATTTTTAAAGAAGTAGCTTTCTCAGTTTATAGGGCGTGGTCAATTTTCTCAATATCTTTGGCTCATTTTAATAACTTGGAAAGGGCATAGTCTGTTTTGCATTCCATTTGGGGTTTAACTTTTTAATTTTCACTAATATGCTCACACTTACATTTTCCGGTTTATCGACTCAGAAATGAAACTGTGTCTATTGAAATTATCCCCCTGAAAGTATTTCTCTCAACAGCTTCTGGCCACCCATGGACTTTGTTGGAGTTGTTGTTGTTGTTATTATTTATTTTATTACAAGGGTATTTTCTTTTCAATCATTCTATAGTTATATATAGAAATACATAATAGTTCTATAACTATAATTACATATTTAATCTTATGTTCAAATGGTTTAAGTGCTTTATTCAGTAATAGATTTATTCAGTCAACTAATACTTATGGAGAGCTTGCCATGTGCTAGGCATTGTGCTGAGCAGTGGGGATATACAATGGTCTGACTGTGCATGCCTCCCCACTCCAAATTCATATGATGAAGTCTTAATCCCTAGTGTGATCGTGTTAGGAAGTAGGCCTTTGGAGGTAGTTAGGTCATGACAGTGGAGCTTCTCACAAATGGGATTGATGTCTTTATAAAAAGAGCCCAAGAGAGCTCTCTCACCCCTTCTGTCATGTAAAGGGTACACAAGAATTCTGCAATCCAGAAGAAGGCCCTCACTGGAACCCAACGATGCTGGCATCCTGATCTTAGAATTCCAGTCTCCAGAATGGCGATAAATAAATTTCTATTGTTTATAAGTTATACAGTTTGTGGTACTTTGTTATAGAAGTCCAAACTGGCCAAGACAGGATACAATGGAGAATATGAAGATAGTCTCAGATTTCACCATGAAAGACAATAATAAACAGGTAGATGTATAAAGCAATACAGTAATC